TCTTGGATGTCTGATCATGGAATGTCTTGTCCACCCGTAGTTGTCTGTTGCTGGTGCCTCCTTCCTGGGGTTGAGTTGTGCCACTCCTTCCAGCAAATGCGGTCTTCTCGTAGATCTGCAATCTTGTCGTTTATCAACCAATTCTTGCTGAAGGTCCATCTGTCCTTCTTTCACTGTTCCTCGTCCTCCATCCATGACTGTTTGGTTCCTCCATGTGCAGAGGATTTCAGCTTGTATCATCGTTTTTGTCTCCACCCAAACTTTCTCGCGTGGGTTGGACAGTCCTTCAATCGTTCTGCTGCATCATTCCTTCCATTTGACCCATAATGTAACCTTTCTGATGAGACCAAACCAGATTTTTTCTGTCTTCCGGAGCTGTTGAGGGATGTTAGTCAAGAGGAGAAGTTGGATGGGATGTTCGGGGAAGGGAGTTGGGAATAGGGAGTCCCAGAGTGCCGATGCTCTTGCCCAGTAGTCTGTCGCCTCTCTGCAATGTATTAGGCAATGAACTATGTCTTCTACCGCTCCTTCATTACAGACTGTGCAGAAGTCCGAACTGTTGGGATCTGAACTATTACGCCTCATGTGTAGCCATTGGTTCACTGGTAATGCGGCGTAGGCGATTAGCCATTGTAAGCTTCTGATTTTGATTGGTCTGATGAGCCTGGACTTTTTCCATTGGATCTGTGTGAGATTGTTTGCCTCTTGGCCCAGTAGATCGTGCCATCTTTTTTTAATGATAAGGTCGGGGTCTTTTGTTTTCAGTGACAGTCTGTATCCAAGTTTGACTGTATACTCTTGAATTGGGGTTTTGGATTTGATGTTTTTAGTCTTGTCCGGTATCCATGCCCATTCAGCCGGGTCAAACTCCAAGTTATGGATTGCTGTGTCCGGTCTAAAGATTGACTTGGGCCAAGAGCCAATGACCCTTATCTTCCTGAGTAGGAAGGAGTCCAAGACTACCGACTCAACGTTGTTATTCAGGATAATCGGCATACTGGAAGCAGTCGTGGAAATTGGGAAGGAGAGGAAGGTGGCCTTGGTACGCGAATCTTGTTGCATGTGAGAGAATTGGAAGGCTCTCGAGGGAGTCATTTCTTGTATAAGTCCCCATTCTCCGGATTTCCATGGAGCGGCTTCCGTCAAGATATCTTTCCATTCCTGTAGAATAAGGCTGACAATGTACAGGAGATTGGGTCCTCGCCTGTGGCATCCGTTCAGTTGGGAACTGATTTCCTGTTCTGTCTTCCATTCTTTCCTGTCCTCATGCCATATGTGGGCGACTTTCCATATGCCGTTTTTGACCCAGGAGAGCCACTTTTGTTCTAAGAAGAGGGGGTTGTCGCCCTCATTTGTCACCCATCGGTTCCCGAAGAGCGGTTGTCTTAGTACTTCATCCTTGGATCTAGATCTGTTGGATTTGTTAGGGATTATTTTTCTCCAGATTCGAAGTAAAGTCGTCCAGTACGGGGTATCAGGCCTATAGTTCTATAATCTGGTGTCCCTCGTTCGACTTCTTCTGCCCTTGGCTATGATCTAGCCTTTATTCATTACCCAGAACAGTCCTGACATATCCTCTAGAGAGGGCATCGGGGCTAGTGACCTGATGCTATCCAGGGCTAGTTTATTCCATGTGCTGTTTGGGTTCATTAGAAGTTTAATAATCCACTTAATCTGCAGGGCTTTTGTTTCTGTTTCGGGGTCTATAATCCCTAGACCTCCCTTTAGCGGGCTCCTTGTGACATAGTGCCATGCAATTTTCGATATGCTGTTTTCCTTGTTGGGGTCTCCTGACCATAGATATGACCTGGCTTTTCGGTTCAATTCTTTGATGGAATTGTCTGGGACAGTCCAAATGGAGACTTAAGTACCACATCATTGAGAAGACCGAAGTGTTAAGGATCAGGGCTCGACCAATGAGGGGCGTGAAGTTATTGCCCCATCTTCCTAATTTGTTGATTTGTTTGGTCAGCATGTTCTGGCCCATTTGGGGCGCTAGACCTTCTCTCGTCATGAGTACACCAAGGTACCGGGTGGGGGTATCTAGCGTCTCGCAGGCCATAGCTGCTTCCTCTCCTTGTAATAGCAGGGGGTCCTCATCTGATAGCCACCATCCTATTGTCTTCCCCCAATTGATCTTCATTTCTGAGGCCAATCTGAATGCTTCCATTGCTTTAGCCAGAGTTCTAAAAGATGAATCGGTAGCTCTAATCAAGACAGTTAGGTCGTCCGCAAATATGATAGCTGTGGGGAAATCTATTTGGTGAGCTGAGCCTATGTTGGTGCTCGAGAGTCTTTGAATTGATGGGTCCTTGCGTAGAAATGATACAATAGCTTTCATTACGAACAACAAGATTGATGGGGCCAATGGATCCCCTTGTCGGACCGAGCAGGAAATTGGGTAGCAGTCCGACAGAAGGCCATTGACTTGGACACAGCCCGTTGCATCTTTGTATAGTATTTTGCTCCATTTTCTGAAATTCGGTCCAACTCCCATTTTTTCCATGTTGGCTTCCATGAAATCCCAGTTAACTTGGTCATAAGCCTTTTCAAAATCGAAAAAAAGTATTGCAACATTTATCCTCCTCTCCCTAATCTTCCTTACCATTTCATTTAGTGTCAGTACGTTATCTAGAATGTATTGACCAGGGATGAAGCCTGTCTGATCAATGTGGAAGCATTTATTTGTGATTTGGGTGAGTCGGTTAGAGAGAGTTTTCGCCAGGATTTTAAATGGAAGTGTTAGA